AGGAGCACATCCATGCCACGGCCTCCTCAGCACACGGGGAGGTCCGTGCGTGCCATGCCATGAGCAGAGGAGCTGCCCAGAGCCTGTCCCAGCCTTCCTTCGGGCTCGGTAGGAGCAACCAAGTGAGCTCCTTGGCTGGGATAAATGGACAGAACATGCTTTCATACAGGAACCATCCCCGCTTTCTGCAAACTTAAGGGTCAGAAAGGGCTGGTCACAAGGTGATGTGTTCATCCTTACCCAGGACTGAAATGGAGATGCTCCAACCAGCTCGTGCAAGGTTAACTGCAGCTTCCAGAACAATTCCAAAGGCTTGTGTCTTAAGGAGCCTCCTACCACCTGCATTTAAGAGATGAATGCTACCCAGATTTACACGTCAGTTGGGCCCTAGAGTGAAGATTACGTATCTGATCATTGCTCACAAAATCAGTGATGCCACATTCAGCTAAAAAAATGTGAGTCTTCATCTTTAAGCTCTTCTCTACATCTGCGGACTGCAAGAGCGCTGACTCCCTGAACAGAAATAAACCTGAAGATTTGGGCCTTTATATGTCTAAAATCCATCTGCTCCGCTTTATACTATATAACCCAAAACGTGGATTTTTTTTTTTTTTTTTTTTCACATGGTAGCCTTGTGCTGACTTCTAGACTGCAATGACAGACAGGAGGCAGAAGGCTGCAACAGACAACTTGGGAACAAGTATAATGGCTTCAGCATGTGTTAAGGCAAGATCACAAGGACTGGATAAGGTTACTACGGCCGGCCAAGTCCTGGAGGTGTCCTGGCTGGGCTGTGGTGTAAATCTGCCTCCATAAGAAATATAGAATACACTGCCCAAACCCTATCTAGGCAAAATTTTAGCACTGGTATTTAAGCAAGAGTTGAGAGAATGACATTAAGAGCCAGAACTGGATTTAAAAAGTCATCTTAAACATCTGCACTAGAGGTTTGTGTTTTTTGCTTTATTTTTTTTTTTTTAAAAAAAAAGCATCGTCATTATGAAAAGTAAGAGCCAGCTCACGCCTGTGCAGGCAGGGAGAGAGGCATCATGAAGTGGCCAGTGCAGGAGGCCACAGGGAGCTGGGGATGGGCAGGGGAAGAAAAACCCCCGTGCCCACGCCTGGGCAGCAAGGCAGAGGCCCCTACACCACTTAGTGCGGGAGCAGAGCGGCAGCTTGGTGCAGCCGCACGCTGCCCGTGCCTCTTCGCCTGGAGGAAACAGCAAACAGCCCTGTGCTGGCCGTGGCCCTGGGTTTTGCTGGCCACGGAGCTGTCTTGGAACCTCGTGGGCTGTGGGGACGCGGCCGCAGGACCTGTGTCTGTCAGGAAGGAGCTGCGGCTTGTCACGCGTGCGCTGCGCAAAGGCGACCTGTCAGCTCCAGTTGGGCCCTAAGTTGCGTATTTGACATGTCCCACTCTCCACTGCCAAGTGAATGCCCCCCGGCTGACTTTGCACCACATTAAATTTCACGGATAAGCTTGTCCGTGGCAAAGCTTTTGCTTCATCACTCTCCTGAAATAGCACGCTTTAGGACCAAAACAGATACGAGCTGTGAAGCCAAACATTGTGACGGGATGGTTAAAGTGGCCGGTGCCTCCAGGAAGGTGTCAGCAGAGCAGCATGATGCCTGCCCGTCCCCGGGGCTCCCCCCGTGGCCACGTTCACGTCTCCTGCACCCCCCTTCCTCCTCCGTGGGGTTCCCAGGACAGACGTGGTGGGATTGGAAAGGTGTATCCCCCCCAGGTGAGCTGAGGATGCAGGCAGCCCTCCTGCCCAAAAGGGAGGGAGCAGCGGGATGCTCGGGGCCCACGTGTCCTTTGGCAGCAGACACAGGGTGACTCAGGGAAGGTCTTGGAAGTGCTGATGGTCTAGCAGGGAGCCAAGGCTCTGGGAGAGCAGGGTCTAAGCATGGGAAGCTAGAAAATATTCTCCTTCTACTGCTCTGAGGGCAAGGACGAAGTCGTGAGCGGTGAAGGAGGCACCCAGCAGTCCTGTTGGGCTTGTAAGGCTGCAACGATGCTCACATTACCTCCTTGTCATGGAGATCTTCACAATATGTAACTCAAGGTCTCTCTAGGTTTGATTAGAAACAGACACCCCAAACTTTGCACTGAAACTTTGAGGCCATCTCCAGTTACAGGAAATCTGGGCATATCCATATGCAGATGTATGCAATTTGTTTCACTTCGGCAGTTAGCGTGGCTGTTTTGAGGTCAGGGAGCCCGTTTCTAGGGAATGAGAGCTCCTCCTTGGGATGCTCAGCCGAGGGCGGATGCACGCCACCCTCCCCCGAAGCCTCCTGCCCTCCCTCCCGCCGTTGCTGCCCCTCTCACAGAGCCAGCTCATCCCTCCCGGTGCCCGCAGGGGCTGGGGGGAAAGGAGCCCGTGTCTGCTGCAGTGCGGGAGCGTGCGAGCGGCGCGGCCGAGACAGCGAGGAGGGGTCCGGGCTGGCAGCGGGTCGCTCGCTCGCTGGGGCTGGTGGCATGGGACGGAGAGAACCATCGCTGCTGAAAGCCCGGCTCCCGGCTGCAGTTCGAGCGAGGCAGGCGAGGAAATTCCATCAGGGCCGGAGCTTTTCTGTGAGCTTGTGTGGGGTTGTGCAGACCCTTCCCCAGCCAGCCGGAGCCGGTAAGAAACAGCAGAGAAGTTCCCAAGGAAAGGCCTCGGGTCTTGTGCTTGCTGCTGGGGACCTGGGAGTTAGGGAAGCAGCCAGCACAAAAGGCACGGGGGAAAATGTATTGAGCTCCCTGACATCGTAAATAATAAAAAAAAAAAAAAAGAAAGGAGGAAAAAATTTCTTGGCATACTTTTATTTATTTATTAGTCAATCTCTACTGACTCTCACAGGCGGTAGCCCATTGTTGCAGACTTTCCGGACTGCTGTTATCACTAGTTTTGAAAATAAATAATACCCTGGCCGTATCATATGGCTTACCCGGGCTGCGGGGCAGGGCACTGCCCCAGCCCGTTTTGGACGGGTCCGTGCCCCGGGAGCGGCAGAGGCGGTCAGCCGGCCGGAGGGCGTGGGTACAGAGAGGAGGCAGGGTGGCAGCCGCTGGCCTGGGCACTGGTCCCCGTGCCCAGGGAACAAAAACCTTGGCAAAATGTTCCTGAGGATCAAAGCGATGGGAGTTGAGATAGAGACCATCAGGCTTTGCTGGGCTTTACAGGGAGCTCCTCAAAAGGCTGAGGGAGGAGCGTTAGAGAAAGCAATAACTCCATAAACACGGTGGGGTGGTAGTGGCAGATAGCTCCTGCGTCGCCGGTGCCTTCAGCCCAGGTCTGCCTTCCGCTCCCCTGTACTAACGGGACAATTTTTTTTCTCAAATCCCTTTCACAGCTCATCCTCCCAAACTTAAACCTGGGCTTTCCCTGCCCTCATGCCCGAGGGTGACAGCTACATTTCATCCTCCTGCTTTCATCCCAGTCACCTCCATGCAGTCCTTCGGCTGCGAGAGTGAGAAAAGGGCGAGGATACTGGTGGGCTTTTGGCTGTGAAGCCATGGCAGAGGCATTCTCAGAAGGGCTAAGCTGTAAATATACAGTGAATTAGGTGGAAGGATGTTGTAACGAGGGACGAGTGCTGGAAAAAATGGGGATTTCCAAAGACATGGGTTAAAATGCCTGAGCTGGTGTTAATAACCCTGGATATGACACTTCTGGGGACAAGCTCCCTGTGGGGACATCACTCAGTGGTGGAGCTGTTTCCCAGAAAGACTGATCCTGGACTGAGAACATTTAAAAATAGGCTAATGTGAATTTATATATATATATATATATATATATAAAAAAAAGCATTAGCCAGTTGGCATGTTCTCGGCGTGGTAAGAAGAGCACGGATAGGAAATACCACTGCACCCTTTCCTTCCCAGACCTTTAGGAGCTGAGCGCAGTGGCTCAGGGTTAAGCCCTGCAGTAGGGATACCATGGTTTTTGTCCAGAGATCCCACTCAGGACTGTGGGCAGGAGTGACACTGGCCTGTGCAGCATATGCCGGGTGGGTCAGTCGCTCACACAAATCCCTCTTTTTCTGGTCTGGGGACACGGAGCTCGGCAGAGCAGTGGCAGTGGGCAAGCAAGAGCCACGGCCACTTGCCGTGGGTCCCCAGCAGTGTCCTGCTGGCGTGGCAGCACTCTTGGTAAGGAAGGGGACACCACTGTCACCGGAGGCAGGAGGTGGGCAGGAGAGGACGCCCCATCACAACACCTTTACCTGTGCTTGAGGATACATACACCCGGTTACAGAAGCTCAAAGGTGGTTTTACTCACAGCTCTTAAGCCTTAGAGAGGAACCAGCTCACTGCAGTGGCTGAAAGATCCACCTCCTGCTTCGCCATACTGCCCTTGTACCTCGTGGCCTGCTAATTATTAATTGCTCAGGGCAGTCACGCAAGAACAGCCTCCTTAGGCTGCTGTCAGACTCCTCTCATTTTTCCCTGCCCCGCACACAGGTTGGGGTGTCTCACACCAGCCTCTTCCGTGGCACTAAGCGCCGGTCATAGCCCCCGTGCCGAAAGCAGCGCAAGTCCTGGCGGAAGGCTGCGGGGGTGACGGTGGGGTGTCAGTCAGGAACACCTCTGCTGACACCCCAGCGTCGCCTGGGGATGCACGAGCAGCCACCAGGACCCCACCGAGCACCACGCGTGGCTGCGTGGCTTTCTACCGTGTGGCGCGTGCCCCTGGTTCTCTGCCATGTCTTGTTCAGCAGGGGAGCACAGAGGGGCTGGTGACCGGGGACAATCCTCCGAGTCCTGGGTTTGGGCCCCTCTGTGCTCAGAGACTGAATCTGGTGGTTTTCCTGCACCCAGGGCAGCCTTCTGCCTCGCCTCCCTCCTCTGCCTCTGCCCAGGGCGGTGCCACCCTGTGTTCAGGGCCCGCTGCCCAACTTTAATAGGTTGAACTAATCAATTGGTTGAAAATTTTACATCTATTTCCTTCTCTCTCTCTCTCTCTCTCTCCCCCTGCCCAAACCTGCCCTCCTCTTCCCCACCCAAATAGGTAAGGAGAGCAGCTTGGGAGAAGCCGACTTGCAGCCGAGCTCTGACCCTTCGGGAATGGACAGCAGCTACCTCAGCGTGAAGGAGGCCGGGGTGAAAGTGTCCCAAGACAGGGCCAGCACGGACCTCCCCAGCCCCATGGACAAGGCCGACTCAGAGAGCAACAAGGGCAAAAAGCGGAGGAACCGCACCACCTTCACTAGTTACCAGCTGGAGGAGCTGGAGAAGGTCTTCCAGAAGACCCACTACCCCGACGTCTATGCCAGGGAGCAGCTAGCCATGAGGACAGACCTCACCGAGGCTCGTGTACAGGTAACGGGGGAGGGCCTGGGGCTGGGCGACGGGTGGGCGAGCCGCAGGCAAGTCCCCCCCTCTCTGGGGGGTGGAACCACGAGCCCCAAGAATGTGTTGTCCCTTGCTGGCAGGCAGCCGAGCCCTAGCCAGAGCCCGGGAACACCGTTGCAACCGGGACGGGATGGGGCTGGCCAGCCACATCTGACGCTGGTGCCAGGTCCTTTATTTGGGCTGGTGGCCTCAGCTCCAGTGTCAACAGAATCACCTCTTGTCCTTGAGGTAACGGGGCAGCCGGCCGGTAAGCCTCACCGTCACCCTAAACAAAGCCATTATAAAAATTACTTTCTTCAGGAGACTCAGCAGGGGATACAGGTTTAGTCTGGGTGGGAGCAAGCTTCCTCACAGTACAGGCTCCTTCTGGCAAGGTGGCGCTGCAAAAGTGACCTGGATGCTCAGTACCAGCGAGCACGGGGTGACACAGGGGAGGCAGCTCTTGTTGCCTGCTGGGCTAAGCAGGCACGGAGACTGCGCGGGGCTTGGTGATCTGAATCCAAAAGGTGCTCCAGCCACCTGGAGAGGAGCGGGAGAGTCAAACAGCCGCCCTGCGATCTCACCCGCCTGCACCCAGACGGGTGCCGGCTCCCATCAGCTGGCTCCCCTGAACTAACCTGGGGCTCCAGCAGAGCCAAACCCCACACCGAAGGAGCGAATGGTCCTCTGAGTGTTGCCGTCTCCTCCGAGTCAAGGTCAAACCGAGCGCAGAAGCGTCTGCGAAAAGGAGCACCATCGCTTGGAGCGGACGTGCGGGCGGAGCTCACGCCTTGACGGCCACCGAAGGTCCCGCTGAAACTTAAGCTCTCGTTCTCCAGCCCAGCTCATCCTGGGACTGCTGCCTGCAGGCATTTATCAGCTCACCACCTGCACAACCTGCAACACCATCAAGAAGAGCTGGCCCGTGGGGACATCTGATTGTATCTCTTACACCAGGAAGATCCCCAGGCCGCCCGACTTGCCCTTAACCTTTACAAGTAGTTGTTGCAAACAGTCGAAGGAGTCACGCCAGCATCCTTGCATAAGCCCATTTTAGTCTGTACGCATACTTCCAGTTTCAACTAGCTGCAGGATTTTTCCTTCCTGCTTGCCTAAATCGGTTTGCAGGGCTGGTGTGCTGTTCTCCCCCACAGCTGTTTCTCTTCAGGCCAGATACGGCTGCATTTCAGTAGAAAGCAGCGCGATTCCCGTCGGTCCCGCACGTAGCATGTCGAGCACTGTGGGGTGGGCAGAGGAAGGCAGCACTACAAACACCAGCTCTTTATTTCTGCCACTGGATGCAGCCCTTGATTTCCCAGGGCTGTATCACAAGCGCTGATGGGGTCTCCTGGGAGGCCAAGCGCAGCATCAGGTTACTGACTGCCCGGTGCACGAAATCCCTTTCGCTCAGGAACGAGAATGAGGTGCTGGAGGGTGGCGAGCTCATCCTGCTCGCCTCTGAGCCAGGGGGCACAGGTGGCACGTCCCAGTTAGCGTGCAGGGCCAGCTCGCAGAGCCAGGGCATGCATGCCCCACGTTCAGTACACACGCCCCACAATCTCAGGGTTGCGGTTTTTTCCCCCCCGCTTCACCACTGGGTACCACTGCTGCCAAGGGCAGAAGCATCTCAGGCAGCCAGGAGGAAATCTGGCAGAGGGAGGGGGGCAGCCTAGGGGTTTCATGTCGCCCTGTGATAAGCACACCAGCAGCCCGCTGGGCTTCTCAGGAGGGAGGATTTTGGGGGCCAGGGCCTTAGTGAATCACCTTAGCGCCTGTCTCCAGCTCTGGGTTGTGTTATAGCTTGTTTAGGCTTGGCTTTGGCCTCCCACCCCTCTGGGCACCTCTGCTCAGCCGAAGAGCGGGCACGGGGAGGGGGCAGCAGCCCAGGAGACCGATGGCAAAGCAAACACCTACTGCAAGGACCAAGGGCCCAACGAGGGCAGAAATCACAAATTATCCACGAGCCACTTCTTTCCTCCTGCAAGCCAAACAGCCGCTATGGACTCAGACACCCTCCGCCGAGCTGGCTGCCGTGTGGGGGGAGTCTGGGCAGCCCCGTGGGCTTTGAGGGGAGCTCAACAGTCCTTTTCCCAAGGAAGGGATGGCGAGTGTCCTGGGTTAATCTCACAGAGGCCCGCTTCAGCTGCCTGCAAGGCTGAACTAAGCAAAGCGGCACGGCAGGGAGGAGAGGTGAGGCGAGGAGCCCGGCGGGTTTGAGGTGTGATGCTCCCTCCCACGGCTGAGCCAGCTTTTGGCTGGAGGTCATCCCCTCGGGCCAGGCTCAGCTCCCCGGGGAGCACAACCAGCCACCACCACGCTGCAGGCGAGAGCAGATGCGGAGCCCAGTTGGGCAAGCAGCAGCTCTGGCTTTTTTTTTCTTTTTTTTTTTTTTTTTTTCCCCATCCCTTTCCCATGCTCACGCTTCATAAGTGAAATAGCTGCCAGAGCTCTCGGTGCCTGGAGAAGAGCTCGTGCCAGCAGCGGGCATGGGGCGGGCTGTGCCGCCTGCGGAGCCATGGCATCCCGCAGCCTGGCCCCTCTCCTGCTCCATTTTTCTGCCTGCTTTGGTTTCCAGCTGTCAGTGCCGGTGTCCGGCAATGTCAAAGCTAATTCCCCTTGCGTTTCAATGCAACGTTTTCCCTGCCTGCCTCCCCTACCCCCCCAAAAAAACTGGTCCCTCGTCACCAAGCACTGTTAAGCTGCTGCCCGTCCCTGTTTTCTGAGGCGGGAGCCGTGCATAAGCCCCGCGCAGAGGCAGAGCCACCCAGCCAGCGAGAGCCTGCTAGGGCTCAGAAACAAACCTGCAAGGCTGTGCAGCGGGCGCTGTTTTCTTGTAGGTCCTGCACAGCGTGCATCTCCCAGTCTTTTCTCCTCCTCTTCCATGCCTGGGGCTGCAGAGCTCCAGAAAGAGCTCCTGCTGCTTGGTACCTGAGCTTCTTCCAGCCCACCCTGGGCTGCAGCAGATCTCTGAGGCGGTGGCACTAGAGAAACACGGTAGACACACACACGTGGGTCCTTCCCTTTGCGTGCACACACGCACCTACACATCCCCAGCCCCCCACCAGCCTGGCCCCGGCTGCTCATCTCTCTTGGGCTGTGAGTATCTCTGCCTCCTGGCCTGCCCTGGGCAGAGGAGAAAGAGATGGGGCTGGAAGGAAGCTTTGCACCCAGGGAATATAACCCCTCGGCCAGCCCCCCTCAGCGCCAGCCTTATGATTGCTGGGACTGTTAATGAAATGTTTTCGGCAGTGACCCTGTGATGCGGCGGGGGCTTGAAAGTGAGAGGGAGATGTCAAACTCCACTGTAGCGAAATCACCGCCTTGGAAAAAAAAGAGGAAAAAAAAAAAAAAAAAAAAAAAAAAGCAAAGCAAAGCAAGAAGTAATATATCTTGATCCCTTTTCCCCCATAAAACCCTGGGAGGCTGGTGGAAGGAGCGGAAAGACTGAGCTAAGCCTGCAGGAAATTAAACATGAAATGAAAACAAGCTCGAGTTATTCAATTCTCTCATCCCAGGCTCCAATTTCCCATTCCAGGCCACTGATAAAATGGTGTCCAGTTTCAGCGCTCAAGGATGAATTCTGGCTCTGTTCTTGCAGGCTGGAAAGCAAAGGGCCGGTGCCCATCTCCAGGAAGAGAGCAGACGGGCTGGCCTTTCACAGAGGGATGGGGTGCTGGAGGCAGAGAGGCAGATGGACAGACGGAGGCTGAGCTGGGGGAGGAGGGCAGCGGGGCTGGAGGACAGGGACGGGGAGAAGGGGTGCTGCGAGGCTGCCGGGGGAGCGCAAGGGGCTTGACGGCGGCGGGCGGCTCTTTGCATCAGGGCAGTGATGCAGCAAAAAGTGTGTGTGTGGGGGGGGGCTTGAGCACAGGGTGTGGGGCAGCAGGCTGGAGCTGGCCCTGTGGTGGCCACCAGCCCACCCACCCGTGGCCTGTGCGGGGTACGTGGGGCTCGGTGGCGGGGGCAGCACCGGCTGGGCTGTCCCCAGCCCCTCCATCCCCTCCCCTGCGGCACGTCAGCTGTGTGTGCATATGGATTTAGGTACCAGCATATGGCTGAATGTTTATGGAGACATGAAACATTTTCTGTTCTGTAGATTTTTATAGGGCTGATTTGGTACCTCGGGGCTTATCAAAGCATTGGCTGCGGGAGTCAGATACATGACATTACCCTACACTCCCACCCTAATTGTAAACACTGAGCTGCAGCCCACAGCGACTGCTCATCCCTGCATGAAGCACCCCGTCCTGACCCCAGAGGACACGCTGCACCGACCGCTGCGACCTCCGCTGTCACATCCCCGTCCCACAGCAGCCTCTCCTGACAAAAGGTGACAGGCAATGAAAGGAAAATGGGCTTTTGCTGGGTTTTAGATTTGCTTTTTAAAAGCAGGTGTCTGATAAGGTTGAGGAAATACTTAGGATTAGTCGGGGTTTTTTTGCTGACATCTTCACATTCTATGTTGCCCTGCCTGCCCTGCTTTCCCTGTGGAGGCCTGGAGAAACCCAGCTGGAAGACACCAAACAGCCTGAAAGGACTTGGGCCAGAGGAGAAAGGAGAACTTTACAAAGCGGTCCAAACCTTGTCGCAAGCGTTTTGGAGCAGTGGCTCACCGCCAGCCCTCGGAGCATCTCCAGAGCCCCCGGCACCAGCAATTGGACTGAAGCTGCTCTTCTTTTTCAGCCTAACGGCGAGGGTTTGCCACAGCCTCCCGGCCCACCAGCCACGTGGGGCTTGCAATTCGGGACCTTTTGCTCTGTCAGCGCCAGTTCAAGCCAACGCACGAGCAGCAAAGCAAACCCCCCCCCCCCCCCCCCGTGCCGGCCACCCCGCTCCGCCTCGGCCGGCCCCGGGAAACCTCCCCGGGGGCTCCGGCAGCCCGGCTGCCGCGGTGTCCCCGGGGATGCCGAGCGTACACGCGGATGGTTTTGGGGTGAGGCTGTGGGGCGGGATGCTCGGGCAGGTGTGCGGGCAGGCCGGTCGGTGCCGTCGCCGGGCAGGGGAACGGCCGCATATGCCTGGCATATGTTCCGCCCCGGCCTCGCCGCGCAGCCAGAGCTCTGCTCCTTACCTGCTCCGCACCCCTCTGTGCACAGCGGGGCCTCCTCCGCCCGCGGAGGAACCGGGTCACCACCGCTAACTTTGAATCTGTAGATCAAAGCGGCCCGAGCCGGGCCAGCCCTGGGACTGGCCTGCAGCTGGGCTGGAGCGGCCGTGCCAAGTCGAGGTAGAAGAAAAGCAGACAGATGCCTGGGGCATCAAACCTGAGCCAGGAGGACGCTCTCCATGTGCAGCCTGTGCTCAGCTGGGATCATGTTAGGCCTTTTCTGTTGGTGCTTTTTGCACCTGCTGAAAATCCTCGTAAGGTTTTTTGATTTGGGGGTAGCGGTGGGGTGGGGAGGGGGGGCGAGTCACCTTGGCTGCCCACTCGTGCCATGGGGCTTGGCCGTGGTGGGGAGCTGCGAGGGACAGGCACCGGCCTGCCTAAAAGGCGGCGGGGAGAACTGAAGCAGGAGGACCTGAAATTACTTTTCCAGGACAAGCAAGAAGGTCAGCTCAGACCGAAACCCACAGACCCTCCAGCCTGTTTGTCTCCCAGTAGCAGCTTTGCCGGCACAGGCTGCAAATGCCACCTCTCTCCTGTTCCACCCAACAACCCCCCCCCCCACCCAAAAGCCAGCCTGCCACCCCACCCTGTACCAAGTGCCCGGCTCACCCCGCTATCCTCCCAAGACTTGAGCTTCCCACCCAGATCCCAGTTTCCCCAGCTGCCCACGGGCAGGACCAAGCTATTCATTAGTGATGCCCCCCCCCCCCCCCCCCCAGCAAGTCACAGTGTAAAACTCGAAGCAGAGCGGAGCGGCTCCAGGACTGCTCCTTTCATGCACTGGCGTGACCTGCACAACCCAGCCCCTGGTGATCGCCTGCATCTCTCAGTGCCTTCAAAGCGGCTCTTGATTGATGTGTTTCCCTGACTCACAAGCTTCAAGAGGCTTTGAAGACACTGGGCCAGGCTCTGATCTCTCTTAGGCCGATGCAAATCAGGAGCAATGGTGCTGACAACAGTGCAATAATCCACACTGATGTCAAGCCAGTAAAAATAAGAGCAGAAGCAGAGTTTTGGTCTTTCCCCTGCCTTGAAGGCATCTGAGCAGCACTGTGAAGCAGAGCTGCAAACCCTGCAAAGAAAACTCGGTGTAAAGCAAAGGGCACGCAACGCTGTACAAGGGCACTTGTCCTTTCCTGCAGCTAAGGAGGGAAGGGCTGTTAAAGCTTTTCTAAATTTTTTTTTTTCGCAGTTCAGAAAAATAAGACTGAGAGTTCAGTGAGAAGTGCAAGCTCTCGGCCAAGGGCATCATCATAGCCAGGATTAGGCTCGGGGAAAGCCCCAGCACTGCTGCTTTCAGCCTGGCAGCTGAAACACCTCTAGTCTGAGACCGGCTGACGGCACGAGAGTTGCAGGCAGCACCTGGGTAACACCGATTTAGGGGTGTGGGGAAGATCGGCTATCCCCGGGCATCACCCAGACACACACCCCCCCCCCTCCACCCAGGGATGAGGGGCAGGACCACCGCTGCCTCGCAGGGCTTGCGGCCGGGCTCCGCTGCCAGCAGCTCCCCTTGTTCACAGCCCCCCTGTCGCCCTCTCCCCAGGTGTGGTTTCAGAACCGGCGAGCAAAATGGCGCAAGCGGGAGAGGTTCGGGCAGATGCAGCAGGTCCGCACCCACTTCTCCACCGCCTACGAGCTGCCTCTGCTCACCCGTGCTGAGAACTACGCCCAGGTGAGTGCATCGCCCCCCCCCCCACCTTGGTCTGTCAGTCCCAGCGCCTGTCGGACACACCGCCTCTGCTCCCAGCCCCTCCCTAAGCGATGCTTCGCTTCTCGGGTTCATCCACCAGCCCTCAGGCGAGGCTGCCGGAGCGCCGGGGCTGTATCACCATGCACCGAAGGGCCAGGAATTATTTAGCTGGGTGTCCTGCCCGGCTCCCTCCTGCCCTGGCCTGGAGCAGCTGTCTCTAAAGCGGGCACCAAGCCCAGCCCCCAGGGATGTCGTGCAGCCACCCTTCGGGCCCAGGTCACTGCTGTCCTCCTCCCATCGCATGTGCTGCTGCCCACTGATTTCCCAGTGGTTTGGAAAAGGGTCAAAAAAAAAGAGGGCTATTTCATGCCTAAAACCCAGCAGTTCCCAGGAAGGCCTCTCGTTGCCATGCCTAGGTTTCCGTGCCCCTTCTTTAGGCGGTTGGACAAAAGCATTTTTCCCTGGGCAGATTCCCACCGCAGTCTCCCAGCGCTGGGCTGTGGTGCCCGCAGCGCACTCGGTGACGTCTGGGGACGCTCCCCACGGGACTTGTGGGTTTGTGCTCTGAAGGCGGGGTGGCAGCAGCCTTGTTGGAGTATCTGGGGCTGCTCCCAGGGCCTGTTGAAAACGTTCCTGCCCTGGCCCAGGAGGCAGGTGACAGCCACCTCCCCGCCTTAGATTCCTGTCCGGGAAAAACCTGTCACCACAGCAGCCACCCGAGTTTTGGGCCAGCCCCCATTTCTCAACACTGCCTTCAGACCATGACAGGGCAGACGGGCTCTGCCCCTGCAAAGCACTCCCTCCACCCTGCCCGCTCCTTTTCCCGCCGCCCAGAATTTGCTCGAGGATGCGGTTGTGCAGGCGTGATGCTCTGAACCCGACTTGTCCTCCCAGATGGGCTGGGAGCCCTCCCCGCCCCGGCTGTCAGCTCCCTCCCCAGCCAGCGCCGCACCAGAGCTCCCCCGCAGCCAAGCCAAGAGCATTTGACCTCTCTCCTCCTTGGCGTCTCCCCTGAACTGAACAAGGAGCCCTTATGAAACAGCCGAGAGATGCCAAAGCAGCTTTTCAAGCAGAGGACACCCTCAGCAGCCTTTTCAGCACTCCTTTCTCTTGCCTTTGTAACTTATACTGCTCCCTCCCTCCATACTGCCCTCCTCTCCCAGCCCTAAAGATCAAAAAAAAAAAAAATGAAAAGCGATTTGCAGGAGGTAAGAGATCAGAGAGGGCCCAAGGGTGAGCGGTGAAATGGGGCGGTGGGATGAAGGGCCCTTTGCCCTCTCGGCTCCAGCCAGCCGCTCAGCTCCTCCCCACGTTCATCCTGCGTGCCCCCTGTCCCCGGCCCTGGCTGCAGCACACCTACTCCCGCTGGAAAATACTGAGCCCCTCTGCTCCCTCCTCTCTTCTTCTGCAATATTGTTTTGTGAGTGATGCTGCAGGAGCCCACACGGCTGCTCGCGGCGGCCCCGCGGGGCTCTGCTCCGCAGCAGGGCGGGCGATGCTTCCTCGACGGGCAGCGAGCCCCACGGGGGAGAGGGGCAGGGAAACTGCCTGTGCTGGGGGGGCTGCGGGCAGCCCAGATCAACCGGGCATGTCCGTGTGGTACGGAAAAGCCCTTGCCTAGGCCAAGCTGCGCCGAGCTGGGGCAGGACAGTGGATGGGCAGTCTCGCAGCACCCCTTTCTGCTTGGTCCCTCTGTGGTTGGTAGGCCCACAGAAACACTGTGGGTGGCACCAGGTTGTCTGTGCCGTGAGCATCCCAGCTCCAAAAAGCACTTGTGGTGCCAAAGAGAGAAAAGGTTGGGAGGGGGAACAGAGAGACACGATGGCAGAGGAGGGGCACAGGCCTGCTCCCCTGTGAGGTAGTCCCCCGCACTCCTTGCCCCTGGCCGGGCTGGCACGCAGATTTGGGAGCGGACTCGCTGGCTCCGAGGGGGTGGGTGCAGATGTGGGGACCAGCATACCGCACCCCACCCCACCAGCTGCCCCTCAAGCAGCAGGGGCTGGGGACAAGCTGTATCCCCCTTCCCAGGCCAGCCGCCGGCTGCATCCCTGATGCTTCTTTTCCCCCCACCCCCTCCCCGCCTCCCACCCAGATCCAGAACCCCTCCTGGATCGGCAACAACGGAGCTGCCTCCCCCGTGCCCGCCTGCGTCGTGCCCTGCGAGACGGTGCCCTCCTGCATGTCCCCCCATGCTCATCCCCACGCGGCCGGCGGCGTCTCCGAGTTCCTCGGCGTCTCCGGCCCCGGCAGCCACGTGGGACAGACTCACATGGGCGGCCTCTTCAGCACGGCCGGGATGAGCCCCGGCCTCAACGGCTACGAGCTGAACAGCGAGCCGGACCGCAAGACCTCCAGCATCGCTGCCCTGAGGATGAAAGCGAAGGAGCACAGCGCCGCGATCTCCTGGGCGACATGACAGGGTTGCAGCCCCGCGCCCACGAGACACGGAGAAGAGCACATGGGGACAGCCGAATAAATCCATCCGCTTGGACTCCAGACAGCAGTTGCCTCCTCGGGGATCTGAATGCAGCACTTTTAGCTACCCTAGGCATATAAAGTACATATGTTAACGTAAGTGGAGCGTTTCCAGCATGAACACGGCAGCTCCTGGCTTCCTGGGATCAGGCAGGGAGAGGGAGGCTGTGGAGCAGCACCTCTTCCAGTGAGAACTGGGTTGGGAGGATGCGGCCCCTCTCACCGCCACCTCCCCAGTAACCTGGGCATTTTTTTCTCCCTGCTCCTTTTTCTGACACCAGATCTGCCTTTCCAAAGAGCAAGAGCCCGCTGGCATTTCAGTGGCTTCTCCCATCCCGCCACCCCCCTCCCATACACACACATACTGCTTCCCCTCCTGATTTGCCGACAGTGTTGCTCAGATCCGTTCTGCCCCGGGGCAGGGGACTGGATGGGGACTCTGGCACCAGCAAAGAGGCACCTCTCAGGCTGCTCCCATCCTCTTAGCGGGAGCCACAACTTCCCACAGCTGAGCGGGGAACGCAGCTGGGAAGATCCCCGAGGCTAGAAAGAAGGCAGCGTTAGCCCACCTCCTTCCACCCTGCTCCCTCTCCAGCTTGCAGTCCGAGATGAAGCACAGAGCCGCAGAGGCCTCCTGCGGAGGGGATGCCTCTCTTCCCAACACGGCACGGGGCTACCACACTGGGAGCCTTTGCCAGCCCTCTGGTCGCCTGGCACCAGATGGATGCACCCCGGCAGACGACAGCTTGCCGGCACGGCCCGCTGCCCCGGGGCGCGCCTGGGGTTTGCTCTGCCACGGTTGTGGTCGATGTCGAGGCTCATGTGCGTGGTGGGGCAGCCACACGTTTTCCTCTGGCTTTCCCTGGGTTGGGAATTACTATCCTCAATTTAAGAGACAGCAGCCGTGGGAGGGGAGTTAAGAGTTGCTGTGTGAAGCCGCGGCTCCCCAAAGAGACTGCTCTGAGGCACAGCTCCAGCGTTAGCACGCAGAGGTTGCGTGAGGCCACGGGATCCCTCAGTACACCTTGGCCTGGGGTCCGATACGGGCAATGACAGCCCCTCCCCGCAGCCCTGCTGCACGCAGCCGCTGTGGGCACCTCTGGGCAGGGGACGGCACAGGGAACAGGCTGGGAAGGGACCCAAGGCTGGACCAGACAACTCTGCCCCATCCCCAGCCGCCCCAGATCCTCCTCGCCTCGCAGGGGAAGCAGGAGATGCCTGGTTTGTCCGAGGCAACGTGCCCCCCCCCCCCCCCCCCCCCCCGCTCCGCTTTTCCCTCCCAGTGCTCTTTACCTGCACAGCGCTAGCGGTTCAGTAAGATCTCCCTTGCAAGGCTAAATCCCTGAGAAGCTCTTCCACAATCTGGTAGTGCTAGGAATAATTTTGGAACGTCCTTTTGCACCACTGAATTATCACCAGGGGGAAGCTGAAGGCCAGCTGAGCATCACCACCCACGCTGCGCGGCAATGCAGGCCGAGCTTGAGCCGGGGCAGCCATCTCTGAGATTCGAAAGGGAACTGCACGATTTTACTCCCATGAAAATTCGCGTGTCACCCTGCCCTCCCTCCTTACGCTCAGTGTTAGGGGATCTTGTAGTTCAAGGTCCAGGAATATTTAGTGGTCTTGGAAAAGGCTCCAAATAAGCTACAACCAAATGTCAGGTTTCAGGTTAACGAGATATACAAGTATTTCTATAGCGCCTAGAGTGCCGCACACTACCTAAATGATACACCGTTGCTAGATCCAATGTAATATATATTTATTGGATTAAGGAAAGACCAGCAGTACTGTCGCTTTTCTCTCCTCAGAAATGCTAAGAGATGCCTTTCCTTGGTACTCACGGGGAACGAGCACGCATTTAAATTTAACCACACCACGTGTACGATGGGGGCCTCTCCCATCACAAACAGCCAGGACTTATGTCCCAGCCTAAACATCCAGCCGAGCCGTCGGGCACGATGGCTTAAGGGCTAAAAGTAATTCTGAGCACTGAACAGGACAGGATCATGCTGACAGGTTGGAGGTGAACGTCACCCCCCACCGGGCACCCCAGAAGCCACCCAGGGTCCCAAGCCGCCCAGGGACCGGTGGCAGGAGACGTTTTCCTAAGGCACACTGGGGAGCATGATGCTTCCCAGGGTCAGCGGGCCAGATTCCCGTGGAGGGAATCCCCGAGCAAGCCCAGTAACGTTCCTGACAAGGCGGGTCAGCCACGGGCAGAGCTGAGGAGCGGGCGGTGGGATGAGCGGGCGCGCGGGGACGGGGCCCCCGCGGCCCGCAGGTACCCAAGGCAGCTCCGACAGCAGGCCGCAGCCATGCAAGAGCTTAGCTGCATTCCCGGCTGAAGTTAAAGGGCAGCTTTTCCCCACAGCCTTCCACGGGGCCAGGATTTCACCCGAGCTGTCGAACAGCCCAGAGGATTAAGCGCTGCATCCCTTGTCTTGTTAGAGAGGAGCATCCCCTGGCAGCAGGCTTGGCATTCACAGAGGCTCGGCCCCCGGCTTTCTCTCACCTTAAAACCCACGTGCAAAGCACATGTTGGACTCACTCAATCTATTTTAAAGGCTACTGTGCGTGCCTGGCCCCCCGCCTGCCCGAAAGCATCACCAGGCGAGGGGAAGGGGGGGGACGTCGTGCCCGTACCGGAGCAGCCCCCCGTGCCCACCCCCGCGGGCCACGCTGGCAGGCGCTCCCCTCAGAAGCCTCCCAAAGCAGCTATGCAGGCAGTTTGTCAGCTACCACGCATCTGTACTTACACACGTTTTTAAAATTAATTTAAAAGGGTTTTTTTAAACTAGCTGTTAAATTAACAAGAAAAACTGTATAAATATATATATATACTTATATATATATATATATCTTAATCTAGCCAACCTGCGGCTACTGCATTTCTTAAGGGTCACAGGGTCCGTGCTGTTCCTGCAATCTCAAAGTTACCATGACGATGCCTTTTTTTTTTTTTAATTGTTATTATTATTTGAATACCTTTCAACTCTATTTATGACTTTCTTCTCTATTTATTTCTTATTTAGTATTTTACTCCATGTCCCACACATTGAGTTACGATCCCCTGGCTTGGACTTGCCTTCGAAGCTGTGAGCTTCGTCCCCAGCCACCGCCAAAACGCCCCAGCCGCCCCGACACCCGCCGTGCCCGGGGTGGCATCCTCTGTGGGTGCAGCACCCAGCCAGCCGGGCTCACCCAGCTGCCTTCCCCGGCCTCGAGGAGGTAGCAAAACGTTTCTCCGGCGCAGCCCCGGCCCTGGCTGTGCAGCGGGGACCCTACAAGGAGGTCGCCTTATGTTGCCCGTGGTTAGAAACACCAGAGACATCCCCCGAGCTCCGAGACTGGGCCATAAAGAGCGAGAGCAACACGGGTTCCCGGCACCGGCATAAAAGCAGTTGGGTACCACTCGCTGCCGAGCACTCAGAGGTGCTTCTTGCCTGCAAGCGGTAGTTAAGCGCTTTGGTAGCAATGGTGAACCAGGCTTGGGCTCGCCGGGCCCCGCAGGGTCCAAAAATCTTTAAGAGCTGCTGTGCCTGAACAAGCTCACGGAAGGGAGCAAGCGAGAGGACAGGCCGGGCCCCGGCGCATCGCCCAGCGCGGCCACCAGTGCTCCCAGCCGGCTCTCCAGCCAGCGGCCCCATCTCGAATAGGCCACCCAGCTCGGGTCCCGCTTCCCTCCCGCGGGTAGAGCCCGAGGAAGGGTTGAGGACCGAGACGGCGAGGCGAAGGGCCAGGCGTTGCAGCAAGCTGCGGCCCCGGGGACCCCGGGCAGGGCTGCCCGCGGGGGTCCCCCCGGGGCGGGAGGCGTTTCGGGCAGGGGGAGGCACCTTCCCCCCATTCCCAGAGTACGCCCGGACAGGGCGGCACGTTGTAAAACACTCTCCAAACAAACAAAGGCGACAAGGTAGTTTCCTGGAAAAGGTCTGAAAAATAATCAAGCAGAGGCAGAGCCCTGTGTTTATTTTGCTGCTCTGACTGACACAGCAAAAAGCAAACAGACCAAAGGAGAAATTAAACCCAAATGGGAAGGGGAGTGGAACTGGATGGAAAGTCTTTCAGCCCTTCGCCGCTTCCCAAAGGGAGCTGGGAGGAGGCGACGGCGCGGCCTTGCACCCCCTTTACTCTTTGCTGGTAACACGGTTCCCCACTCCCCCCACATAGCTAGGTAGGTAGGTAGAGCTAGGACTTTTATACTACTGATTTTGAAGGACAGTTTTCAATGTATAATAATATATCGGTTTAGGTGTGCAGTGTTTGAAAGAGACTGGGAGAAAGAAAGAAAACAAACCTCAATCAATATTATTTTTTTTGTTGTTGTTGTAAAATATTGTAACCTTGTATAAACACAACCTTTTTTTTTTTTTTTTTTTTTTTTTTTTTTCTTTAGCTTAACGGCCTGGGGTAGAACATATTAAAAAAAAAAAAAAAATAAAAAAGCTTTAAAAAAGTTCAGGAAAAAAAAAAGAATAAAAAAAATCATTAAAAATGTTGCCATGTGAGGTTTGTGCCATGCAATGTTATTGCCTATGCAGCCATGTATTACCAGTTCATTACAGTGGAATATTAAAAAAGAACAAACAGTCTTGCAGCTTGGTTCTTTTTAACTTTTTCTGAAGTAAGTTATTGCACTTGCAGCTTTTTTTGGGGGGGGAGGGGGGCTTTTTTTGGGGGTGGCGGCGGGGAAGTGAGAGGGGGGACTGGAATATCTGGGCCCCAGTTTTTATTTTTCCAGTTTTCCAAAGGAGTGGCATCGTTAGGAAGGACCCTGCTTCCCAGGGGCCCTGGCCGAGGGGGCACAAACACTGTTGTTGTTGTTTTGGTTTGCAATAAACTCCTTCTCTTCTCTCCTCTCAACTGCAATCTGGCTGGTTTGTTCCTGACTCACGACGGATGAAATGTGATCAGAGGGGGGGCCTCCAAAAATCTCACGTTAATTGAAGTTGGCAAAAAATACTAACAGTGCCCTTTTGAACTGCTGACGCAGTGCAGGACGGATTAGCCGGGGGTAGATTAACAACAGGTGGCAGCTCACGGGCCGCTGCCTCTCCCGTGCAGGGGAGGTGGATGTCGGAGCATCCTGCCGGCGGGATTTGGGAAGGACGCAGCCGTGCCACGGTCACGCCGAGGGGGCTCCTGAAGTCCCGAGAATAGACTCCCCCCACACCCCCCCAAAAAAACCCGTGCCTTTCGCCCACGTTCCTGTCGGCCCAGTCTCACTGCTGAGCCCCCTCTCCTGCCGCGGTTCCCCCAGGCCGCCCGCCCGCAGCCAGGCGCTGCTCACCGGGCCGAGCTCTCGGGGCTTCACTTCTCCCCGCAGCCCGGGGAGGGCTTGCCTCAGCCCCACGGGTTCCCGGGGCACATCTCTTCCCCCCATCCCAACGTGAGGAAAAGCGGGTTCTGGGAGGGCCCTTTCGGCCGCTTTCGCTCTGTGAATAAACTCAGCTGTGACCCCATTTCCTTCAGACCCTGTGAATCCACCAGCGCCGGCACCAGTAAGAGCCCCAGGCCCTGCTACCCAGGTGCTCGGTGAACTGGAAAGAGCCCTTCGTGTTCAGGCAGAGCTGAGGTGGTGCCCAGCAGCTGTCGACAACCCTCCAAGACCCAGAGAGCCCATCCGGCCTTTCCACCCCTTGTCTGGGAGCATCAGCTCAGTTCAGATGGAGCATGGCTGTTTTCCATCTCACAAAGAAATGGATAATGCAGGTGCTGTTGCAAGCTTATCCATTCCTCTCACTTGTAGGAGAAAAATTCCTTCCCTCCCCAAGCACTCAAAGCCAGATTCTCCAGATGTTGGCAGAGTTCAGACTGCTGAGAGCCCAAAGCCAGTTTCAGTAACATCCTGGTTGTACGGGTTTACATCAGAAATTGCTCCCGACCTGAACATTGCCAAAGAGCCAAAAAAAAAAAAAAAAAAATCTCTATAAACTCTAGATAGTGGCAGGGCCCAAATTAGAAATGTGCATTCTTTTCTTGAAGCTGCATTCTCCTACTGGCATCACAGGAGTTGTTTAAAACACATGGAAAAATTTCTCTCTGGGCGATGTGGCTTACAGCACCTAGGTTAACGCGTTCCTTCTCTGCTGGAGAATATGACTCTGAGGCAGGGCAAAGTTCGGGCAGTTTTAATGAAAAACAATTTTTTCTTCCTGTAAACTAAACAGATTTGCCTTTTTTCTTCCTCTTTTTAAAAGCAGGTTATTAACCTTTAAGCAGATGGATGTATAATAATCTTCTCATTGGCAAGGAAGGTAACAGCCATGCAAGGTGCATCTACTTATGGCCAGCTGGAGCCCACATGTAAAGGTGTTGCATTTAATCTGAGACAAACAAGTGTTTATTATTTGTGAAAGGATCTTCCACTTTCCCTTGCTTTTCAGTTCGTAACTTACTCACAGGGCAAAGACAGATGCTCCGAGTTAGCAATCTGCTCCTTTTGCTGTAGCCTTGCTGAATTCCTGGATCTCATTTTACGGTCCTTTCTGCTCCGAACCTTTTCCCCTGCCTGTCTGGAGGAAGCGTGGCAAAGGGGGTGCTGTTCCTGCCAGCCCTCAGCTGAGGGCCCCCAGCACTACCTGTGCCTAGCACCCAGCTGAGACCCGGCCCTCCCTTCCCAAGAAAGGTTGAAAAAAGAAGGACCTTTAAGT